TTTTAACATTTATATGTATGTATATTATGAAGTAGAAAAGTCAGTAATACCTGAATCTGAATTATCAGTACCAAGTTTATAGGGTAGAAAAAAAGTTAATCGTTTTAAATTTTGTTTGTGTGTATGATATGGGAATTAATTGATCTTACAACCATACTCAGCCTATTTATATTTTATTATAATTCAAGTAATGTAATTTTACACTGTAATAACTTTTCGTATTTATCTATTTAATTTTTATTATTATGGCTGCTGTACAATTAGAAAGTGTAATAATTTGACTTAATATTAATTTTTGTAAATACCATTTATGGCCAATTACAAAATTACTGAATATGTTTAGTTATAATAGCAGCTTAACTACGACCCCTCATTATTGAGGTAATCATTAATGATGATGGAAGAACCCTAATTCTCACAAATAAAAATCATTTTTACTTGGTCTAACTTAGGACCCACCACACCACCATCATTCAATTTCTCTTCAAATAATCTCACGAGAAATTCCTTTGTACAATAAATAATTCCTTCTAGGTAATTGAAATCGAGGGCAGCTGTAAAAAGTTAAAAAAATTTATTTGTATTTTTTTACCACCCTCTGAAAAAACAATCAGAACAGTAACTATAAAATAGTGGTAAATGAGTCATTTCACTATCTAAAGGAAAATGAACGGTTAACTTCTCCTGCACTGCAAGAGGAGTTTATGGATTTTACAAAATCAAGCCCACAAAACAAGGAACCAACAAGGACTTGTTTGGTTCTCGGGAAAAACAAGTAGAAAGAAAATGAACAAATCATGCATGAGAGTAATTTTTCTGGCTCTGTCTTTTTAGACGGTTAACCAAATCTTAATTAAGTTTGTCTTACTAATTAATTGAGTTTACAAAAATAGAATGAAATTAATTTGGGTTGTTATTATTATAGAAGGAAATTTTGAGCTAATTTGGAGTTTATGTATCTGCACTTCCATTTGCAATTAAGTTATCCGCATACTAAAAAATCAGTAGTTTCCTACATAAGTTAAAAGTTTAAAGAATATATATTATTATTTTTAAGAAAATATTATCTTCTCTTTTAAATAATGAATTTTTATAATGATTTAAATTCAATGCAATTTTTTTTTTTTTTTTTCAATGAGGGACTAGGTCGTTGATTTTTTTTTTTAAAATATATATATATATATATATTATAGTATTTCATAAGGTATAATTTGGGAGCAGTTTCTTGACCACTTAAATTTTCTCAACTAAAAATATATTAATGTATAAAAAAATTTCACATCCCGCATTCGTTAATAAAATATATATTTATTAGAAAAAGTTTTTACTAAATAACATACAAATCCGAAGTCATTAGAAAAAAAAAATCCAATCATATTATAATTTTTTTAACGTTAAAATTTATATGATTCGTAACAGTTAATTAGATAATACGTGCATACCAATTATACCATAATTATCTAACAAGAACACATAAAAATAACATAATCTTATTCAAAGTAAGGAAGGTAAATAGTAATCATTTAATCAAAAAATAATTTGTACACTGTGGGTATGCATACGTGTGTGTGTGTGTGTATATATATATATAGACAAGAAAAAAAAAAAGCATTAATTTCATAATCCCTAAAAAGAGAAAATAGAATTAGGTGTTTGAGTTAATTATAGTGGTTTAGATATTGGTCCCTATAAGTAAAAGTGTACACCATGTGATTAATTAATAACAACATCCCCATCCATGTTGATACAGGGCAAGTAGAGGCGTGAGTGAATTCCAAAATTTCAATAACCTTCAAATATTGAAATCAGTACTTGCTTATTTCAAACTCTATATGTAGAAAATTCTCAGTGTAATTAAACATCCTTGCATTTACTCTCCACAAAAATTAATCGTCAGACCAATATGATGAACATTGAGCGTTGCCAAGTACATTATTAGAAAAATATTTATATGACTTTAGAATATCTTAGAAAATCTGTATGAATATGCTTATTAATTTGTTAAAGAAAATGATTACACTGTTAAATGAAGCAAATGAAGTTGTATCCTTGATATTCATAAGAATGAGCAATTGTAAGAACATTATCTAGTATGATAAGACCATAAATAATATTTTTTTTTAAAAAGATCATTTATTAATAGAAAAAGTTTATATTATATCACCAAGATAGTAAACTGAGTCCCCAAACAAAATGTTAAACATAAATGTCAAATACAAACAAAGACACAACTAGATATAGATACATTGGAACGTATAACCTATGTATGTAACTAAAACCAACATCATCATTGGCTTCATGTAATAATACTACCTAATATATATATATATATATCTATCTTTAAATGTTCTTAATCAATGGATTTGTTGATAAGAGTTGATTTATCAAATGAAAAGTCTTACATTACAATTATACATATTCATCTTTCTATTGGAGTTATCATTATCTTCTTATGAGTATTTAAGTCATACATGAGTGCTACTAATATATGAGTCTCTTTTATGATCTATATAAAGATAGTTGTTTAGTATGAGTTAAAGCTCATGAACATGAGAAGTGATGACAAACCACTCATTATTTCCTATAATAGGACAACTCTTTTATGTGATTGAGTCAAATTATTTTCTTCATTGTGTAAAGAATTTTAAGAATGCCTTCCTTCATAATGTTCTAAAAAAAGATGTTTTAGAGACACAGAAAACATTCCTCTTATATTTAGAAACGTTAAAAATCTCTTGTGGTCTCAAACAATTTCCTCGTGCTTGTCTTCCAACATTTCAAATATTTTTGCAATAAAGTAAACAACTCAATGTTCATTTTCAAAAGGGATCATGGTACGGCAGTAATTTTTCTTTACGTACATGATATCTTGCTAATTGTATCTTTTACTTCTAATTACATACTTTATGTTCTACACATGAAATCCATAACTAATCTAACACAGTTATGCTTTTCTTAGTATTATGGTTACCCCCATAGTGATGAAGATATTTTTCTCAACCAAGAAAACATGTTATGGATCTCTTATAATAAGATAAGACGAAGACTTACATATTTTTTGCCATCCCTAACACAAGTTATTCCTAACTCTTGTTGGTGTTATACGATACTTAATCATACTTGACTAGGGCTCTCTCGTGTTGTCAACTAAACTAGTATATATATGCATGATTCCAACAAATATAATTATCAAGTTCCCAAGAGAAACTTTTAAATAATTTTAGTGAAAGATTAAAGGAAAATGGGTTGGGTTCAAGTAAACCAAACTTGACTCAAATATTTCACTTCATATACTCAACTCAATCCAATCTAAATTAGATAAATAAGAAGGTAATAATTGATCTGTCAATTCGAATACTTAAAATACTTTACTAGGTTCGCTCTGAATTTAAAAAATATATATGTAAAAATTATTAATAAAAAAAAATAACTATAAATATTATATATATCAATATATTTATACATATACAAATACGAGCTTAGTCATGTCATACTTGGATATTGGACCAATCAAGGTGAGAGAAGGGAATGCTCTAGTTTCATGTTCAATTTTTGTCCCTAGATTTATTATGGTCTTTAACTCTATCATGATTCTCCCATATACTAAATTAGCTACCCTGATGTTAATTGGGCTAAATATCTTTACAATAGACATTCTACCATTAGATATTGTATTTTGGTGGGTAATAATTTGATATAATGGAGCTTAAAGAAGTAAGCAATTGTGTAAAGGATAATACTATATACATGCATTTTTTTTTACATCTGTTGCCTGCAAAATATTTTAGTTAGTTATGTTGGATGAACTACTAATCCTTTTATGGCAATATTAATCTATATAAATGGCATAAAAATCTAGTAAACTTGTTTGATCCAAGCATGTTATGTGAAGCACTTATTTGTGTGAGAAAAAATCACGTAAGATCCTTAGTAGTATGGGGTATCGCAAATCAAGATCAAATTGTGGATATATTCACCAAATGCATTCTCTCTAACGTATTTAATTTTCTAAGTCTAAATCCTTGCATTTTACTCCACATAGTTAGGAAAGAGAAAAGATCGATTAGATAAACTTTTTATTAATTGATTTCTATCATTATTTTTATATTTTTCTATTATTATAACTCTTTTGTGGATATTGCAAGTGAAAACCAATTTACCAATATCTTCAACAAACTCTTTTCCTCTGTCATATTTAATTTTCTAACATCAAATCTTTTCATATTATCCCATAAACTTGTGAAAGTAAACATCAATAATAACCTTGTTTTTTGATCATTT